GGCTAATTTTTTGATTTATTGTAGAGATGAGGTCTCGTCAAGTTGCCCAGGCAGGTCTCGAACCCGCGGGCTCAGGCAGTCCACTCACCTCAGCCTCCCAAAGGGGAGGGATTACAGGCTGAGCCACCGAGCCCGGCCGACATTCTGCATTTCTAACAGGCTTCTGACTGATACTGCTGATTCTGCCCATACTGCTGGATCCCAGGACCACACTAGCAGGACTCGAGGGATTGATTTTCATAATGCCATAGTCAGCCTTACAATGCAGCTTGCCATCTAATTTCAAAACCCCTTTAGGGATGAGAAACTGAGACCCATTGTTGGCTCACTTGTACTGTTGGATGCTTTGTTTCTCTACTGCCAGCCTACAGCAACTGGAGGTGGAAGGGAAGCAGTACAATCAAGAGGAATGGCCTGATAGGTTGTTGTGAGAGCACTGTTGAAGCACTTTTCTGGCCTGCTTCCAAAGAGGAAAGAAGCTATTGGAAATCATGTTTCAAGATCATGGTCTAAGAGGAACCTTCTTCCAATTAAACACATTGTTGACTATTTTGTTTACAATAGACAGGGCCATTATTTTAAGGAACATAATATTGAGTAGCTTGTAAAGTCAATCAGAGAACGTCAAACCAGCGTTTTACCGAATTTTCAAATTTGTTTAGGGTTGCATTATTACAATCACAGACCATAATGCATGCTAGGAATAGTTTTGATACCATAAAAAAAAAAACACTTTTGTATGCAAAGAATACTTAAACACACTTTCATGTTTTCTATTTTCAAAAAGTTATATATTCATTTGAAAAATTACCTGCTAATATTTTTATCCCTCGGTTCTCCTGAGGGAAAAAAACGATGCTTGTTACTAGCATGGGTGATTCTGAAACTTTTCTTTTTCTTCCAAGCACTGGAAGTTTTACAGTAGCAAGTTTCAAGCAGTTTAAAAGTGTCTGCTGCTGCTGCTGCCTGTCTTAGCATCAAAGGACTTTCTAGATAACACAGATTGTTAGGTCAGTTAACGTAATTTTTTCCAAAGTAATGGGAAAATTTCCAATCACCTTTGAAAACTGTACAGTACACTGAGACTCTGATTTGCAGAAATGAAAACCAAGGGTCCGATAAATACCGAAAGAACCCATAGTTTTAACTTTTTTTCTGGGCTCTTCCCACAGAAATCAGCTTAGTGTACACTTTACTTATATGTAGTATCATGATTGTTAATAGCAGTAATGGTTAGATTCTCCTCAGTTGTTAGGGTCACAGTAAGGCTGGAATTCATAGCCCTCTATTTTCAAATGATTATTCTGAAGAGCTCTTCGTGAATTTGACAAAGCAGTGAAATTACTTCTAATATGTTTTCAAGGGTCAACTACTAATTCCTAGTAACTTCTTTCAAAGAGGAGTTATGCTAAATATCTTTCCTTAAAAATGTAATATATACCTCTGAATAGCTGTTAGTGGGTTTTCTTGGTTTCTGTTATTAATCATATTTTTTAATGTTTTTACTCGGTAACTTGTTTGATATATTAAATACCTTTTGTTGTTAAATTATAGCTAATAAAAATGATGATGCAATATGAATGTATTATTCCATAGGTGTGAATGTCACAGATCATGATTTAACATTCAGAAGTCTAACAGAGGCCCTTCAGAATAATGTCACACCATATGTAGTCTCATTGCAAGCTAAAGATTGTCCAGGTAAATTATAAATGTCATAATTAACTTGATGATTTGTTACAGACTGCTCCTGCCCTTTTCTGTCTCTGTCTCTTGCTTTCTTTGTCCCATTTTATTGATGCAAGAGCACTGTACTATATTTTTGGCAGGGTGAGGGTTAGTGGCTGCCAGAGTAATCTTGAGTATTGCAGAACTCTTTGCCTCCTTTGGCATTCTTTATCCTGCTCCCATTTCTGCCATATCCACTCCACTACCAGTAGTAGTCCAGGCGTTTTGCAAGATGTGTTCTTTAACCCCGTGGAACTTTTAATAAGTAGAAGGATTTGGGACTGAAAGCTGAGAATTGGGGAATGGGGAGCTCTTATTTAGGTCAACAGAGAGTAGACTACATGGGCTTATGTTTCACTATTTAAATTTCATTAATTCAGACTAAGACAAGACCAAAGTTTATGTGTGTTGTCTGTAATAAGATGGTTACATAAGCAAATATATAAATACCAAAACTACAAATTATTTTAGGGATATTTTTTAAACTACACTAGACAATAAAAGGTTTTCAAGGTCCCTAAAAAAAAAACTAGGATTAAATCATCTTATTGTCACACTTTGAAAAGCCACCATGGTAAAAAAAAATAGGCCATTGACAGAGCTAACCTTGAGTGTCTGAAGCCTTGAAATCATAAATACAGTAAAATTTGTATGGATTTGGACTGATAGCAAGAGTTTTGTATGCATTTAACTTTCATATTTAGAAACTTATTGGAATTCAGTAAAAACCCTAAAGACTTTATGAAAGATTTGTTATCAGTAAAGTAATTCATATAAATAACACTTATGATTGTTTTTAGGGACCTTGAAAACCTTTTATTGTCCAGAGTAGTTTAAATATATATCCCTAAAATAATTTGTAGTTTTCGTATTTATATATTTGCTTAAGTAACCATCTTATTATAGACAATACACATAAACTTTGATCTCATCTTAGTCCAAATTAATGAAATTTAAGTAGTAAAGAGAGGGCACTAATGAGCATTAATAGTTAATATGTTGTGTTAAATCTGCTACTTATTTTTTTTTGCCCAAGCTAGAGTACTTACAGTCATGGCTCATGGCAGTTTCCCCCTAGGCTCAGGCAATCCTTCTGCCTCAGCTTCTTCAAGTAGCTGGGACTACAGGCATGCCTCACCATACCCACTTAATTTTTTTGTTGTTTTTAATTTTTTTTTTCTGTAGCAGCAAGGTCTCGCTATGATGCCTAGGCTGGTCTCAGACTCCCGGGCTCAAGCAGTCCTCCTGCCTCAGCCTCTCAAAGTGCTGGGATTACAGGTATGAGGCACCAATGCTCAGCCTTATAGCTGCTATACTGATGGTAAGTATAGCAGCCGGGATCGGTGGCTTAGCCTGTAATCCCATGCCTTTGGGAGGCTGAGGTGAGTGGATTGCCTGAGCCTGCAGGTTCGAGACCCGTCTGGGCAGCGAGACCTCATCTCTACAATAAAATAAAAAAAAAATCAACCGGTCGTGGTAGTGCATGCCTGTAATTCTGGCTACTCGGAAGGCTGAGGCGGAAGGATCGCTGGGGCCCAGCAGGTCGAGGCTGCGGTAGCTGGGAACGACCACTGCACTCCAGTCTGGGTGACCGAGTGAGACTCTAACTCAAAAAAAAAATAAAGAAAAACACATTCTACCCAAGTAGTGTAATATATACTGATGAAGAAGTTTCAAGGACTTTGATTTTATTTTGAGAGATGATAAGCTTTCTTACTTTTTATATTCTGCAGATATAAAACATTTTTTGCACAAGTTGGTCTCAGAGTTGATGGACTGTTGTGTAGATGTAAAATTGAAAGAGGAAGAAGATGTTCAGGTCGCCCAGAAAAAGACACATTGTTCGATGGATTCACTTTCCAGGTGGTATATGACTGTCACACGGGTAAGTATAAATTGGTGGTTTTCTCCCAGGAGATTGGCATATGATTGATGGGGCTTGGAATTCTATGAGACATAATACTGTTTGGTTCTGATAAGGATATGCTTAAGTGTTAGTTTAATAGTAGCTATTTAATTTTTTCTAAGGCTACTAGTATTTAAAAGTGTTCCTTTATTGATATACAGCCTAATTCCTGGTAAGTGCATAGACTTTTACAAAGACGTTGTATTTGTGGAAGAATGTGATCTCATGACAAAAACAGATCATCAAGAGTTGGTTCTGTTGTAAATTCTAACTCTGTGACAATGGTTATAACTTTAATATATATAATATTGTTATATATAATTTAATATATAACTCGGGTTCCTCAATATTTGCTTTTGTGCAGTAGAACCATGCTGCTAGTACTACTGTCAACTTAGTCCTTTGAGAAATAATTATATATTTAAAAAACAAAAGTCTTAATTTGTTTCATGTTTAGAGTTCTTGAGGAATCAGTACTCTGTAAGTATATTCAACAAACAGACCAAAAAAAAAGTTCCATGCTACCATGATAGCCTCTGGTGAAAATGAATAGCCCTGGGTGATTCACTGGGCAACTACGTTGTAAAACTGCCTGATGCTGTGTAGCCAGAAAGTATGGAGAAAAAAAAATACTGTAGTGATATATTCCAATCAACATTTTTGCTGTAGTCATAAGTGAACTTTCATTTTGCTTTATATAAGGATTAAACTAGGTATAATGCTTACCATAATACCTTAATTTGATCCACAATTTTAGATTTTCTAAAAATCAAATGCTACTTGCAATTTATGTCAAACATTTTTTAAAAATTGGGAATGAACCAGATGATATTAGGGTTCTTCTCAAGCTTTAAAATTTCATAATACTGGAATAGCAAGTACTGCTATTTATAAAAATTCTAATTCTCACCTTAAGGGAAAGCAAAATATAACTTTTTGTTTTTAATTGGAGTCTTACTTTGTTGCCCAGGCTGGAGTGCAGTGGCACACTCACGGCCACCCCAGTGTTGACCTGCTGGGCTCCAGCGATCCTTCTGCCTCAGCCTTCCAAGTAGCTGGAACTACAGGAATGCACTACCATGCCCAGCTAATTTTTGGTTTATTATAGCGACAGGTCTTGCCAGGTTGCCCAGGCTGATCTCAAACCCACAGGCTCAGGCAATTCACTTGCCTTGGCTTCCCAAAGTGCTGGGATTATAGGCTAAACCACCAAGTCTGGCCCAATATATAACTTTCTACCAACAGAAGAATGAAATTTGTAGAAAATTTTCTCTTCAGCTATCATTTTCTCTGCAGTAAATATGAAACTTTCATATGAGTTATAGATTTTGCTGAACCTTTTTCTTGATGATTATTCCCATGTGAGACAGAAAGATTCTGCTAGTAACCGCTGGAATGACTTTCTATTTATTATGTGGGATAAATGAAAGAAACAATTACTGTGAAATTTAAAGGGAGATATATCAACATGTGGCATTATAGCATTGTTTAGATGGTAAGGTTTACTTTTAACTCCTTCTTTTCACAATGGCTTAAAAGAAGACAGACCCAAAAATGGCAAGCAAAAAGAGGACTCCTTCTATCCAATGGCAGTCTCCTCCTGTTGTGCTTATCTTAAAGGATATGGAGAGCTTCACCACAAAAGTACTCCAAGACTTCATAATTATCAGCAGGTAGATGGGTGTATCATGTAGCTTTTATGCAAAATTCTCTTCTAAATAAGAAAACATTACTTTTGTTTTGTTTTAAAGATGTGGGATACAATTCAGGATTAGATGTACAAATAGTCATCATACATGTAAAGTTTGAGCCTCCCTTTGGTCCCCAAGAAAAGATTACTTTTAACTTCAAAAGCATAATCTTCATTTTAATACCTACTGGATATAAATCAAAGTGATTCAAATTCTTTACAGTTGATGTTCAAAGACTTCCTATCAAATTTTCCATTAGCTTTTTGACTCAAGAATAAGAATCAAAGATAAATTTAGCCAGTGTTTTTTGTTTTTGATTTTGTTTTAAGATTAGAAAATATAGTTTATTTAGAAAGCAAGTGAGAGAGAAAGGTATAGGGGATTCACCTCCCTAAGGTAGGAGAGGGGGCTATTTAACCGGTTTTTAATTAATGTGGTAAAGCAGTATAAAGTGTGTTTTGTGTCACCAAGGTTGTCTGTCTCTTACTTGGCCATTAAATGTATAAACTACTTCAGGTCTTATTTTCTGATACCTATCCATCCTTAGAGGCTCTAGTTGCATATAGTTTTACCGAGCACGAATGTTTTCCAAATAGCATTATATTTATATACTATTTCTAGTAAGAAACTACTTTCCTGATTTCATTGGATCTTCAGGGCAATTCCATGAGACTCAGAATTGAAATAACTCACCCTGTTTTAAAATCCAGTGATATGCATTTCCCATGGAATGTATTTTTAGGTGGAGCTTTTTTGTTTGTTTGTTCATTTTGCTATTTTTTTGTCTTTGAGTCAGAGTCTCACTCTGTCACCCAAGCTGGAGTGCAGTGGCACAATCACAGCTTCCACAGCCTCGACCTGCTATGCTCAGGCCATCCTTCTGCCTCAGCCTTCCAAATAGCTGGAATTACAGCTACACACCATCACACCCAGCTATTTTCTGATTTTTGTAGGGATGAGATCTTGCTATGTTGCTCAGGTTGATCTAGAACCCCTGTGCTCAGGAAATCCTCTCGCCTTCAACTCCCAAAGTGCTGCAGTTACAGGCTTGAGCCGCTGCACCGGCTTTAGATGGAATTTATTTTAACCTCGTCTATACGTCAACTTGCCTTAACACTTATGGCTGCATTTGCCTAAGGCTGGGTATTGTGTTATAATTTACTCACATTGCTAAAATTCCTAATTTAATAGTGTCCTTTTTCTTTTCCCATTTAAGAGTTTTAGATCCTAGGACTTTTTTTTGAGTTGGAGTCTCACTCTCTCACCCAGACTGGAGTGCAGCGGCTGTTCCCAGCCACCGCCGCCTCGACTTGCTGGGCTCCGGCGATCCTTCCGCCTCAGCCTTCCAAGTAGCTGGAACTACAGGCGTGCACTACCACGCCCGGCTAACTTTTTTGATTTATTGTAGAGATGAGGTCTCGCCAAGTTGCCCAGGTGGGTCACGAACCCATGGGCTCAGGCAATCCACTCACCTCGGCCTCCCAAAGCGCTGGGATTACAGGCTGAGCCACTGAGCCCGGCCTAGGACTTTTTTTTAATGCTAACACTGAACTGTTTAGCATGCTGGGAAAGTGCATAGTACAAAACAGTAACAGAAAAGCTGTACTTTTTTCATGCTCAGACCTACTTTCGCCATCAAAAGTAAAGAGGAAGAAGGTACAAAAGTAAGAGAGTTCGGGTGTCTTCCATACAGGTAGAACTGCATACAGTTAGACTACTGAAAAGCAGTAGCTCATAGGAGAGATCAAAACCATCAGCCATGATACAGAGAACTCTGACCTGCAGCAGCCCTCAGAAGTAGTACTGGTTTACTTTGTGGAAGTCATTTGGTTCATCCTGATAATGCCAGAAAGAAATCACATTCAATGTATTTGGGTTAAGAATATGAAGAGGAGATGTAACTTTTTGTTGTTGCAGCATTTATTTTTAGAGACTGGGTCTTCCTCAGCTGCAGGGTGGCGTGCCGAGGCATGATCATGCCTCAGTATAATCTCAAATTCCTGGCTCAAGCCATCCACCTGTCTCAGCCTCCCGAGTGGCTAAGACTGCGCAACCACATCTGGCTAATTTTTTAAGTTTTCGTAGAGAGTGAATCTCACTACGTTGTCCAGGAGTTCTCAAACTCCTAGCCTCGAGCAGTCCTCCTGCCTCCGCCTCCTAAACTACTGGAGTTACAGGCATGAGCTACTGCGCTTGGCCTCGATACAACATTCTAAAATAATGTTCATTAAATGTTTCACATGTGTGAGAAGAGATGTCTAACTCTTGGTTATTATGGTTGGGTAGCATAAGTCTGTTAGAGATTTTCATAAACACAACTTACCTTGAAAATGAATAACCTTTGTGTCACTGAACTCTTGAAACATAGGCTGGAAGTCCAGCTGTGAGGAAGATGTAGGTGGGGCTCAAACCTTGGATGAGAGATTAAATTGAATTGTTGTTAACCTCTTTTAACACTTTATTTTGAGCCGAGGTCTTACTGTGTCACCAAGGCCAGAGTGCAGTGGCACAATCATGGCTCACCGCAACCTTGACATCCTGGGCTCAGGCAATCTTTCTGCCACCATGCCTGGCTAATTTTTTGATTTTTTTTTTTTCAGAGACAAACTCTCACTATGTTATCTAGTTGGCTGATCATGAACTTTTGGGTTCAAGCAGTCCTTCTTCCTCAACTTCCAAAGTGCTGGCATTACAGGCATGAGCCACCACACCTAGCCTGTTTAACACTTGAGATTGTAAAACCTTAGGAGGAGACGCTCGATCTTTCTGGACCTTTCTGTTCTTATTTATAAAATGAGAGTATCCGTTAAGGGATGGATTTCAGAGTTAGAATGACTGAGAAATAACTAATTATGTTACTTTAACAAGAAAACGAGGAACCTAGAAAATTTTAGTATTTGGAATGATACTCCTTAGCAGTATCTTATAAGTAGACAGTAAAATAAATTTTATCTTATCTTAAAATATGATGTCTTAAAAGATATTTGCTAAAGAAATGCATTTTGTATCTTTTTTTGAAAACTAGTCAGCATCTACATGAATTTCCACTGACACTCATTTTTGGAATCGCCACTTCTCCTGTCATCATCCACCGGCTGCTTCCTCATGCAGTATCATCTCTATTGTGTATAGAACTGTTCCAGTCGTTGTCTTGCAAGGAGCACCTGACTATAGTACTGGATAAGGTAAAAATAAAAGGATTTGCCAGTGAAAGAGGACTAAAAGAAAACTGCCAGGAATAGATTATAAATGTACTTGTTTGTGTTTTTTTCTTTTTTCCTGATAACACCTACTTTGTGAACAAATATAAATGTTAATGATTAATCTCTACATCTAAATCTGAATACTATCGTGAACATACTCGTTCACCTGTTAATATTTTTTTAATTGTTGTGTCATTTTATAGTTTCACAGTGATTTTGTATAATATCGCCTCTTTAGATAAAATATAAGCTTTATGCAAAGAATGATCATAGCTACTTATATATCTGTACTCAATGGAGAATGATAGGTTTTTACAATAAATTTTTATAGAATTCATAGGCTTCCTAGTAGCGATATATCTTTTGTTTTTTGCTTTTTAAGTTGAGGTCTCACTCTGTCGCCCAGTCTGGAGTGTGATAACACAGTCATGACTCACCGCAGCCTCAAACCTGGGCTTATGCTATCTTCCTGCCTCAGCCTCCCAAGTAGCTGGGACTACAGGCATGCACTGCCATGCTCGGCTTTTTAAAAAATTTTTTTTATTTTTGTAGAGACAAGGTCTCCTGTGTTGCCTAGGCTGGTCTAGAGCTCCTGAGCTCAAGCAGTCCTCCTTCCTCAACCTCCCAAAGTGCTGGGATTATAGGCATGAGCCACTGTGCCCAGCCAACAATATGTTTTAACTTTTGCATTTTATCTAAAATGATCTGAAGTTTTTAGAGGCTCTTTCCTAACTGACTGCCATGCTGCTCTTGACAACATATACACTAAAATTTTCCCAGATCTTAGTTGACTATATATATTTCTACCTGAGTAGAAATATTCTTTTTTTTTTTTTTTTTTTTTTGAGTTGGAATCTCACTCTGTCGCCCAGACTGGAGGGCAGTGGCCGCTCCCGACCACCGCAGCCTCAACCTGTTGGGCTCCAGCGATCCTTCCGCCTCAGCCTTCCAAGTAGCTGGAACTACAGGCACACGCTACCACACCTGGCTAATTTTTTTTCATTTGTTGTAGCGATGAGGTCTCAGTTGCCCAGGCGGGTCTCGAACCCACGGGCTCAGGCAATCCACTCATTCAGCCTCTCAAAGCGCAGGATTATAGGCTGAGCCACCAAGCCCGGCTGAAATATTCTTTAGTATTGACCTTCCCCAAATTGTTCCTAGACTCAGCTCCTTTAAGATGTGCTTTATGCTGCTTATGTAAGGCAAGCCAATGACAACTTGCCCACTTACTTACTAACCACTTCTTTACTTTCCCCCGCCATAATGGTTGTATCTATCTGATTTATTGACAGTGTAGGGGAAATTTTTTCCAGCTACAGTATTTAAATTTGCTTGGTTAAACCGGGCATGGTGACACATGCCTGTAGTCCCAGCTGCTTTGAGGGTGAGGCAGGAGTTACCTTTTAAAGTCAGAAGTTTGAGGCTGCAGTGAGCTATGATTGCACAACTGCACTCCAGCCTGAGCTACACAGTGAGATCATAGCTCTTAAAAATTTTTTTTTTGTTTGTTTGATTATAACCATATTCAGTTGGCTGCCTACAACGATGTATACTTCTCTTTAAGTAGCCTAGTATGACTTTTCATTTTCAGGTGTAAATCATCACTATGGACCGTTGAAAATTAGCCAAATAATACAGATTCAGCAATTCTGTATTCTAAATATAGATAGCAATTAATTCTGTAACTTCTGTGGCTTCTAGTGGGAAAAAAGGATTATGTAGTTTTATATATTAGTGTTTTATTATCTAATTAACAAACAGAGTCTTTAAAAATTAGGAATTTGATAGAGGATGATGGACATCTTTGGTTCTGAAGATATATTATGAATAACTTTTTGTTGCTTGTTATATAAATTAACTTAAATTTTTTGTTGAGCTGGGCTTGGTGGCTCAGCCTGTAATCCCGCGCCTTGGGAGGCTGAGGTGAGTGGATTGCCTGAGCCCG